TATATTTTGTATTTTAATTTATAATTTGTGGCATCAACACTGGCATCCCTCGTATAAACCCGTTTGGGCGAATTTGTTGTAGTGATCTCATCACTAGGTTCCATACCCCTCATGGACAAGAACGTTTTGCATGCATATATATATATATATATATTTATATATATATATATATATATATATATATATATATATATATATATATATATATATATATATATATATATTAATATATATATATATTAATATATATATATTAATATATATATATTAATATATATATATTAATATAAATGTATTAATATAAATGGCGGACATACAAGACAGTTGAACATAGTTCACATTAAATAGTTCATATTAAATATAGTCCGAATTGAAGATACAAAAATACAGCATTGGCGACGAGGATGGCTACTTCTCTTGTTAATCCATTTGATCCTGATGTGGAAATAGGCATTAATTTTGCACCGAAATGGAAAATTTTGCTGGAATATTTTCAGATGTACTTCGTGGCGAGCGGCGTTACTGATAAAAAGAAAAAGAGAGCATTATTATATCATTATTATCTCAGAAACATCGTTTGTATGATGTATATCAATTTCGACAAGCCAAACACGGCAACGCGGAAACACTTGATCAATACTACACTCGCGATTGCGGAGTTTATCCCAACATTGTGATTTTGCAGACGCTGATTTTGAAATCATGCTTCAAATTGTGCTTTATGGAACTTCAAGTCGGTTGAGAAAATATGCATTGCGTGACCCAAATATTACACATGAAGCTCTTCTTGTGACAGGTCGCCAGTTAGAGCGTAGCAATATCCAAGCACGGCATATCGAAGAGAAAGCAAATCAAGTCTAGTCTAGTCTGAATCGATAATCAGTCGATTCATGACAGTCGTCGTCCACGTACAATGAATATTTGTAGAAACTGCAGTGGCAAATGGCCTCACGCAAATAAGTAAACCTTGTCCTGCGAAAAATAAGGAATGTCGGAAATGCAAAAAACTAAACCACTTTGCAAAGGTGTGTCGTTCTGGTAACCTGCATGGCAGGCGGTCTAAAATACCGCCTGCTGGGTTTGGCAGTGTAATTTGATAACCGCCCACTTTTTTGTCCGGGTCCAATTAGCCAATCAGCAAACACTAAATATATTAATAATCAAATTGTCAAACACTCAAACTATGTTATTGTTTGGTTGCAAAATTGCAAATATAAAATATGTCGAAAGAAACGCTATTGAATGTTTCAATCAGGACCTCTGAATAACGACAAGAAGTAGAAAAGCAAGCGCGGAAAATGTAAATGACCACTGTCGTTTGTGTATTAAGTGTGCTTTGCAACTAAAACACGGGGCAATAGAGAAAATATCTTGTATATCGTCGGAGAATTTTATATTTAAGGCAAGCAAAAGAAACGATTACGACAGTGGCAAAACCTTGGCCGATCAATAAGCCGATCACGAATTGTGTTCAGTTCATTTAGGAATCGAAGTTAGTTAATTCTACCTCGGAACTATCCGACCGAGTATGGAAACCGTGTGGGCCAAAGATCCGAAACGCAAGCGAACTGATTGCCATATTAAATCAAACGAGACCTTAACGCGTTGCCTGTGTACGTAATCGAACAAATAGACTGTTGTATAAAAACGTCGGTTGCCAATATAAACTGTCTCGTCTCCCTAACGAAGCCGTGTGTTAAAGAATTAAAGCCTTAAAAAGTTCAGAACGTGAAGCGGCTAACAGGCCTAGGCGTAGTAGTCCTGTTAAACCCGTTGCAATAAAGACTCTACGGAGGTCTGTATTTATTCTCGTTAAATTTTCTCGCGCCAACAAGAACATGTAAAAATCAAGCTTTTCCCATAACCTGTAGGTAGAACGGCCAAAACATTGTTTACAAGGAGTAAATCTTTAACTGCTATCTCTTGCTCACGTTTGAGATTTGACAATCAGTTCGTGTTTCGACTTTCGAGAAACGTTTATACTATGCCGTGACATATTAATTAAAAGCGTATTCACTTTCGAGTGACAGCAGCTCAGACTCGCTGCCAATCATCAATTCCCGTCCACTGGTGGACGGAGAATTCGATTACACTGCCAAACCCAGCAGGCGGTCTTTCCCAGGCTTGCCCGATTTTAGGGACCGCCTGCCATGCAGGCTATCGTTCTGGCAACCCAAACATTCGACATTGTCAATATTATGCCAAACAAGGTCAGCGGCGTCAAAGTAAAAATAACATCCGGCCAGTGAACACCTCTGATAATGCTAAAAAGGATGATAAAATCCGCTTGTGTGTTGACACGCGGGCTGCAAACAGTCGAACAGACGAACACAGCAATAAAACTAGTCTGTCACCCTAATCCCTATTCCCACAGTGCGAGACATTTCGCTTGACTTAAACGCAGCAAAATATTTTTCAAAATTAGACATGTCTCAAGCGTATCATGAACTTGAGTTGTCAACAACATCGAGACACATTACCACATTCATAACCCATGCAGGATTGTATCGGTTTAAACGTCTAAATCATGGCACCAATTCAGCGGCTGAAATCTTCCAAAATATCCTGCAGCAAATTTTACATGGACTTGATGGGGTACGTAGCATTGCAGATGATATTCTTGTCTTTGGCTCGACGTATGAAGAACACAACAGAGCTCTTCCAGAATGCTTACAACGTTTGGAAAACTCATAGGCTAACCCCAAATCTGGGCAAGTGCAAGTTTCTGAAACACAATTTGGAATTCTTTGGTTTGCTCTTCTCCCAAGAGGGGGTACGTTCTGATCCTAAGAAAATCTCAGCATTTACCAACATCACCACACCAACTACAGCAAGTGAAGTGCGAAGTCTCTTACGCATGGCTAACTACAGTGCCCAGTTTAACACAACATGAATATTCTTATTACTTAACTGTGGATCCTTGCTCTCTCTGGAACAAATTGTTATCTTTCCCTGCAAGTCATCGTCCTGCCTTTCATGAAATTGGTTACAGAGAAATTATGATTAAACTAGTGGATGATGATTTTCCATTTCAGTACTATGTAAAAGGACTGTTATGCAGTTCTATGGATGAGAAGAAGCATCCACAATGTTGGTAATGAATGCTGTTTTTGAGGTGGAAGAATATGTAATAATATTAGTGTAATATGATTGTTGTCTTTTATCTTGAAGGAAGTATTGGTTATAGGTATCACAAAACATGGAACAATGCATTAATACGCAGAATAGCCAAAAGCGAAGTCATAATATTAATACCATAATAACTTAATTATCTGATGGCAATCATAGATGGATTTTCTGGGGGGTGCAGGCGGTGTGCACTCCCAAAAATATTTTCACCACCTCAGAAAGTTTTCCCACCCCACCTAGAGAAATTTTCACCCACCCCAGAAATTTAACTTCTGGTTTGATTAAATGATAGCATGCAGTATGATTGAACAAGAATTTTGAACTAAATAAGACTTAAAAACAAGGCCAAAAATATCTTTTTCCTGAGGGTCTTTGCCCCTTAGTCGCGGTAAATGTGAACGATAATGCCCAGAAGCGAGCATTGTTACTTTATCAAGCCGATGAGACAACACAGGAAATCTTCAATACACTTTCAGAGACAGGAGAGGACAATGATTACAAGACTGCAATTGAGAGATTGGACGGATATTTTTCCCCGAAGAAAAATGTGGATTACGAGATATTTCAATTCCGTCAAGCAAAGCAAAACGCCGATGAACCAACAGACCAATTTGCAACATGACTTCGCAAACTAGCAGCTCACTGTGAATTCCACGGTGTTGGCCACGAAATAAAATCGGCTATTATTCAAAATTGTCGATCTAAACATCTCAGGCGGTATGCCTTACGGCAAGGTAAAGTGACTCTCACCGAGTTGTTATCGAAAGCTAGAACATTGGAAAATAGCGAACAGCAAGCCAAGGGCATTGAAGAACGTTTAGCATCGACGAATATTCAAGACGAAGAAGCAAATTTTGTAAATCCCCCAAGATCGAATGAATAACAGCGACGACAACAGTGTCGCAATTGTGGATTATCTTGGCCTCATCGTGACGCACCTTGCCCTGCTAAAGGACAAACATGTCGAAAATGTAATAAACAAAATAATTACGCCTGAGTTTGTCGCAGCAGCGTACCATCGACAAGGAATCCTATTAATACAAGATCTAGACCTATCTGCCCAGACAACAATCAACTAAATATTCAACAGGTTAGATATCAGGAAGACCACTATTCGAATAGCCCTAGTAGCAGCAGCGATGATGAGCATTTATATACATGTGTCGACTCTATAAAATCAACAAAAATGCCTTCAACCAAAGTACAAATAAACAATGTACATGTCAGAATGATCATAGACACTGGGGCATCAATTAACATTGTTAACGAAAATACTTTCGCCCTTATCAACAAATACAAACGTATCTCATTAAAGCGAACACGTACTAAACTCTTTGCGTATGGTTCCAAACAACAATTACCAGTGATTGGGAAATTCGAAGCCACAATCGAGACAAAAAACGAATGACTGCCTCTACTATTCATGTAGTAAGAGGCAATTATGGTTCACTGTTAAGTTATCAAACGGCGACAGAACTAAACCTTCTAAAAGTAAACGTCAACAATGTCAAAGTCACCGGTAATGACAAAATTGAACAATGTCAAGACTCACTAAAAGATAAAATGGACAAAAAATTTCCCCATTTGCAATTGAGGCAAAGTTGCATATTGATTCTTCTGTACCCCCTGTAGCACAACCAGCACGTCGAATTTCATTTGCGAAGAAAAGTTTCTGCTGCTCTTAAACAACTGGAAAAGGATGACATAATCGAGAAAGTTGAGGGGCCCACACCATGGATTTCGCCTCTTATTGTTATTCCCAAAAATGAAGGAACTGTGCGCCTTTACGTTGATATGAGGAGTGCAAACTGTGCTATCCAGAGAGAGCGACACCCATGTCCCACAGTTGATGATCTTATACATGCAATGAATTGTGCTAAGGTATTCTCTAAACTTGACTTGCGTTCGGGATATCATCAGTTGTTGTTAGCAGAGGAAAGCAGATATATTACCATCTTTGTCACACAAAAAGGATTATACGTAGATATAAAAGGCTTAATTTTGGAACTAATTCAGCTAGTGAACTATTCCAGAAAGTTATCCACGATCAAATTCATGACATACCTGGTGCTATCGATATAAGTGATGATGTCATAATCTATGGGAAATCTCATCAAGAACATGATACCACTCTTCACAAATCACAATGTTTGTCAGCGGCTTCGCCAAAATTGGTCTAACTTTGAACAACGAAAAATGCCAATTCAGTCAAACCAAATTGACATTTTTTGGTATTGTTTTCTCGGCAGAAGGAATTTCAGCGGATGCTCACAAAGTTTCAGCAATCAAGAATGCCTCACCACCAAGTTCTGCTAACGACGTTCGTATAGTTTTCTAGGAATGGCCACATGCTGTGCCAAATTTATACCCAGCTTCAGTCACTTGAGTGAACCTCTTCGTAAGTTAACCGTGAAAAGTGCTCAATTCCGTTGGACAAAATGTGAACAAACTGCATTTGATAATATTAAAAATGCTTTGACCAGTGATACAGTAATGGCTTACTTTGACCAAACAAAACCAACTGAATTAATCACAGATGCATCGCCATGGGGGTTATCTGCAATACTTGCTCAAAATTCAACACAACATGATGATCGCCGAATTATGGCTTACGTTAGTCGGTCGTTATCTGAGGTAGAGAGAAAATATTCGCACTCGCTATTGTTTGGGTTATGAAACGGTTGCAGATATATTTACGTGGTGGTAAGTTTACTTTATACACCGATCGATTGCAAGCCCATTGAACTAATCCTAGGAAACCCGAAGTCCAAACCCCCTGCACGCATATAGAACGCTCGAACTTAAGAATTCAGGACTTTAATTTTGATATAATGTACACTAAAGGCAGTGATAATCCCTCCGATTTTTTATCCCGCCACCCCTGTCAAGAAACAGACAACAAACATGAAATATCAGCAGAACAATATGTAAATTTCCTCACCATGCATGCAGTTCCAAAAGCGATGAGTATATACAGGAAATACAAGAAGCTACTACACACGATAAAACTTTTCAATGGCTTACTGAAATTATTCGCGAGCAAGCATGGGGCTCCATAAAAGACTTGCCAACAACTGGAGAAGACGTAAGTGAATTGAAACTGTTTGTAAAGGTAAGAGATGAACTAACAATTAATGAACAGTTGGGTATTATTCTGAGAGGAACTCGTATTATTATGCCTTGTTCACTTCGCAAAAGAGCTATACGACTTACGCATGAAGGCCATCAAGGGTTGGCAAAAACAAAACAACTGATTCGTGAAAAAATTTAGTTTCCTAGAATAGAAAAAAATGTTGAAACATTGATTCGTGGTTGCATACCTTGTCAGGCCAATGGCGCAGCAAATCACCGTGCTCCGTTAAAGATGACCGAGTTACGATGAAAAGGGTAAAAGAAACATGAAAATAAATGCAGACAAGTTAGCCAATGCCAAAGAAGTTGACATTAAGGTTGGTGATACAGTATTGGTTCGTCAGAAAAAAAAAGAATAAATGGTCAACACGGTTTGATCCTAAACCACATTGTGTAACGCGAGTGAAAGGGACAATGATAACAGCTACTCGTCCACGACATTATATCACAAGAAACATTTCATTTTTTCAAGAAAGTGCTACAACAAGAGATTCAACACAACTCTGAGGATGCAAGCGATGAGGAAGATTACAGTAAACTTAGTAATAACCTCCCTGACACAAACATTGAGGTGAACAATGAACTTGCTGAGAGACGGTATCCTGCAAGGGACAGGAATAATAAACAAGGATATATTTATATTTTGTAAAGTTGAATGATGATGGGAAAACAAAACAATGTGACCCAACTCCAAACCAGAGACACCAGAACCATTGGTGCAATTATCAAGCTTACAGGTATAACAATCAAAAGTGGCCAGGATACAATGTAGAAATTACCTTCCCAGTGGAAGGGAAGCAACATAGGTATGACAGGAGTAATGTGCCACCTGAGCTTCTATCACCCCTACAACCCTGTGCTCCCAACAATGTGTTGTAAATGGGTATTTTACAGGTATTTTAGGGAATATTTGAGTGCTCCAAAAGTCTTGTCATTGTCATTGATTATCCTTGCATGTATGCAAAGTTGGCACATATAATTATTACACAAACCTTGAATATATTTAAACTGCATACCTGACATACCGTTTGCTTTGAGGGAACGTCTTTACGTCTGGAGTTAATAGCACTTTCTAAAGTAATGTATAAATAACAAAAATTTGTAGTTTCGCAACCAAATTTTGAAATATACGTACAGATTGCCAAATTACGCCAAAAAACGTTAAACTCCAGCAAAAAGCTGTTTTCTTGGGTTTTATAGTGATTAACACTAATGCAAAAGTTCGCGCATTTGGACTGCACAATAATCAAAACAACCAATGGCAAAACCACGGAAGCAACGTTTTATGTCACCATGGCGAAATCTCAATGTATTCTCGGTTACGAATCATCCACTGCATTAGGACTAATAACGTTGAACATTAACAATATTATGCAACACGAAGACCCAGCCATAGTGAAATTACTCAATAAACACGAGAAACTTTTCGAAGGAACTGGAAATTTGAAAAGCGTTGAGGTCAAACTCGAAATCGACGAAACCGTACCACCCGTAGCGCAGTCGTCAAGACGAATTCCACACAACATGAAGAAGAAAGTCAACGAGAAATTACACAAAATGCGTGAAGACGGAATTATTGAAAAGGTAGATGGCGCAACACCATGGCTATCTCCACCCATTGCAATCCCAAAGGAAAACGGTGACGTCAAATTGATTCCCAACATGGGCGTTCCAAACACAGCCTTAATCAGACGTCGAGTTCAAATTATATTCCCACAGTTGACGAGATTCTACGCCAAATGGAAGGAGCTAAAGTATTCACAGAAGTCGACCTATCACAACTCACCCCTCGCAGAAGAATCGAGATATATCACTGCATTTACCACACCCGACGATGGCCCCCACTGTTTTAAGCGTTTGATAATGGGAGCATCACCCTCAAGCGAATACTTCCACGAGATAATGCATGATCTCATCAAGAATATTCCGAATTGTGCAAACATTTCAGAAAATATCTGGTTGTGGTCCAACGATCTACAATCCCATTACAAGCAACTCGAACAGTTGCTCACGAAGTTGGAAACCAGCGGTTTAATCCTGAAACAAATGCTCAAAATGCTTCAAAATGCTCGTTTTTGGTACCAGAAATCAATGTCTTTGGCCATACCGTTTGAGGCAATGGAATACAGCCCGACAGTGCCGAAATCGAAGCGGTAAACAACGCCCCACCTCCAAAGTCAGCCTCTGAAGTTAGATCTTCCCTCCCTGGGTCTAACTAATTACGTACTGCTCCAGATACATCCCAAACTACAGCAGCATCACCTAATCACTTCGAGAGCTCACGAAAGCGAACGCAAAGTTCCAATGGACCGAGAAGCAAGAGAAAGCATCTACTACCTTGAAGCAAGCGCTCACGAGTGCTCCAGTCTTGGCCCATTACAACCTCGAAGCCAAAACACGAGTCGTAGTTGATGCATCCCCATGGGCGGTTGGCGCAGTCTTCCTGCAAGAGTAACAAGATCGATCGATCATACCGTCCTGTCGCGTATGGAAGTGGATCCTTGTCTGAGACCGAACAAGGGTACGCTCAGATCGAAAAAGAATCTCTTGCGATAGTTTTTGGTTATGAACACTTCCATATCCAGGTGATCTCGTGTTCGTATTTTAGCCAATCAGCGCTCAGAAAGGGTTGTCCGAATAGAAATCCATTTTGATGTATTCAGTCAATTATATCTTTCGTTATTCTTTATGAAACTAGTTGAAATTTTGTAATTATGTTTGGTTATGAGAACTATAGCTCTGACAAAAATATGGAATCGAAATAAAGTATATTACAGGAGATGTTCAGTTGTTTTAATCATAAAATGGATTTCTATTTGACAATTAGTGCCAGTACTTTTCCGCGTATCAAGATCACCTGGATGTATCTCTACGGACGAGATTTTGAGCTTGAAACCGACCATCGACCCCCAGGATATATCTATAAACCGAAACCTAACAACGCCAGCAAATCGACCCCTGCACGAATCGAAAGGTGGAAATTACGACTCCAGGAATATGATTTTAAAGTCGTCTACAGACCACGTGCTAAAAACCTAGACGAACCTTTATCACGACTTCCCAAACAATCCCCAGCTGATACACGAAGCAACATGGAGGCGTGCGCAGACAGATATGTGCACTACCTATCCCAATATCTTGCACCGCGAGCCATGTCAATCGAGGAAATCCAACAAGCTTCTATCCAAGATCCTGAACTTTCCCAAATACGGAACTGTTTAGAAACTAATCAGCCACACAAGCTTCCAAAACCCTGTTACAAACCAACAAATCCTTCTTCGCGGAAACCGAATCGCCCTGCCAACCAAGCTAAGAAAGCAAGCCATAGCCTTAGCTCATGAGGACCACGCAATGCACGCATAGATAACCAAGAGCAAACAACGCATGCGATCGAAACTGTGGTGGCCCCAAATGGACAAAGAAATCGAAGAGCATATCAAGTGTTGTCATCTATGTCAATTAGTAACACAACCACCACACCCTGAACCAATGTGTCCCACTGACCTACCCAAAGAATGCTGGACCGACCTAGCAATTGATATCTGTGGACCATTCCCAAGCAAGGCAAGTACATTGTTGTTCTCACCGATTACTATGGAAAGCCGTTACCGCCAAAAGTCGGTCGAGTGTTATATATATATATATACTTCAGTTAGAGAAACCTATGCTCGAGTGAAATGTTAATGGTACTGAGATAAAAAAAATGCTTGTTCAGCTATGGAAAGGCATAGTTAAGATTCTCTGTAGCGAGTTTTTCAAATCTCGCTAGCGAGTTTGCAATTCTCGTCAGCGAGTTTTCAATTCTCGCTAGCGAGTTTTTCAATTGTCGCTAGCAAGTTTTCAATTCTCGCTAGCGAGTTGTTCAAAACTCGCTAGCGAGAATTGAAAACGCGCTAGCGAGAATTGAATAACTCGCTTGCGAGAATTGAAAACTCGCTAGCGATAATTGAAAAACTCGCTTCAGATTACCACTCCAGATGGCCCGAAGCCAAGATACTCAAGACCGTCACGTCACCTACCATCCTAAAGTGGCTGAATTCCATCTTCGCTCAACACGGCTATCCTAAAGTGCTCAAGTCGGACAACGCTTCCTACTTCACCTCCACAGAGTTCAAAACAACTTTTCAGTCTTGGGGTATCGAGCACAAAACTGTGACAGAATATTGGCCACAAGCGAATGGTCAAGTGGAACGTTTCAACCAAATAATCAAGAAGGTATGAATAAATATTTCAATAATATTGGAACCGTTTTGGCTGATGATCTCTCAAATGGGCATAATAGTTTTGAGGCGTATGTCAACCCGTATGTCACTACATTTGAAATTCAAAACATTTCTGTAGTGGAGGTAAAAAGTGAAATTTCAAGAATCAAAACTTCCAAAGCTACTGGACATGATCGTATATCACCAAAACTTTTGAAAGATAGTGTGGAAGTAGTTGCCGAATCCCTCACAAATATTTTCAATAAATCCATTGAAAAAAGCGTATTTCCTGATGACCTTTAAATTGCATGCATATTTCCTATACATAAAGGGGATAGCAAACTAGATTGTTGTAACTACAGACCAATATCTATTAATCTGCAGTAGCTAAAGTGCTTGAAAAGCTTATCTCCAGGCAACTCAATGGGTATTTGGAGTCTAACCACTTGCTGTCGGACAGTCAAACTGGCTTTAGGAAAAAGAGTTCGACTACAACTTCCCTTTTGAATAATACGAACAAATGGTACATCAATATGGATAATGGTCTTTTAAACGGAATTATTTTTCTCGATCTAAAAATAGCTTTCGACTGTGTCGACCATGATATTTTGATAAAAAAAATTGTCTTACTTTGGCTGTAGAGGAACCACTTTAAATTGGTTTAAATCATATTTAACGAATAGAAAACAAATGTGTAAAGTAAATCAAGTGACATCCCAACCTCGAATAATTCGTTGTGGTGTACCACACAAGGTTCAAATTTAGGCCCAATATTGTTTCTTATTTATATAAACGACTTGCCTAATTGTTTAAGAACGACTACAGCCAGTTTGTTTGCAGACGATACTAATCTGACAGCAAGCGGGTGCTCGACTATAGACATCCAAACAAAATTAAACAATGATTTGGAAAATATACATCACTGGTTATTGGCCAATAAATTAACTGTCAATAAGGACAAAACTGAATATATGATAGCCGGGTCATAGGCAACGGATTAGCAAAATTGAAGGTGATCCAGAAGTTAAATTAGGAAATTGTAATATAAAAAGAGTGAAAGAAACAAAAACTTTAGGTGTCATTATTGATGATCAGCTAAAATGGAATGCACATATAGATAATGTCGTTACCAAGGTATCAAAGGCCATATAGGCATGATTCGACGAATGAAAAATTTTGTACCCCAGTCAACATTAATTTCAGTTTATAATGCAATAGTACAACCTCACTTTGACAACTGTAGCGTTGTTTGGGACATTGGTAATGTTTACTCGCTTGAAAAGCTGCAGAAAATGCAAAACAGGGCTGCAAGAGTCATTACTGGTAGGTCGTACGAAGTTAGGTCCGAGATTATTTTACAGGACGTAGGCTGGCAGCCACTGATAGAAAATTGGAGAGAGAATAAGGCAGTTTTTCTTTGATTCATACTCGTTCATATAACATCTAGCGGTCTTTGCAAAGCACAAATAAGCAATATACAAAAGTATAGTGTGGTCCCTTTTTGTGGATGGCTACCACGGACGAATTCTTAAAATAGGCCCTCCTGGCATGGCAAATAATGTGTAAACAAAGCACCATGAAGTACAAGAAAGCAATGTACAGAACATTACACAGTACTGTATAGTATAGTCAATGCCTGAAAACCTGCCATGGAAAAATTTCTACTGAGATAACTTAATGCAATCTTTTACGTAATACTTGGTTGAATTGTGTTTTTGAGTACACCACATTTTATAAACGGCATTGTACTGCACATGTAATATTTACTCCATCAGATTTTGATAAATGTTATAACATTAATTTTGTCTCTACAAGTTAAATCAAGTACTACACTAGTGTTGATTTAAACTTGAGATGAGTTGATATTTACTTCAATAGATTTTTGGAATCCATGGTATTCGACATTATTGCAAGAATGTTTTGTTATAGAACGAGAAATCCTTAAAGTTCTTTGTTCGCATATTCACAAAAATTAGTTGAACAAAAGAACGTGCAAGGAACAAATATAAACAACGATACCGAGATTTTCACATGGCGATAATAATGCAAATGAACCCGGATTGGTGAGAAATTGCTAACCTCTTCTGTGCGTGTGGCTATCAAGTCATCTGACTACAGACTCATCTGGCTTAGCAGTCAACTGGCTATATGCAGTCCGCTGCCTATATAAAAGTCATCTGATTCGACAGTCATTTATGTACTATTTAAAACACGAGTAGGAGTGTTTTATCATATATATAACGCGAGGCGCAGCCGAGCGTTATATATCTGATAAAACACGACAACGAGTGTTTTGAATAGCTTAAAATACGACTACAAAAGAATACTAATTACGATGAACCATATATATAATATGCTAATTAAGATGAACAATTATATAATGCCACATGTGTTTTATCAGATATAAAGTCACTCCACGTGACATATTATGGCTGACATGATTTGCCACAAGGTTTAATATGAACTATTAATGAGTATTTTAAATCTATGAAATCATCTGGCTATGCTGTCATCTACTGCAGCTAAAGAGTCATCTGTTTATGCAATCATCTGGCTATAAAGACGTCTAAGTACGCAGTCAGATGGGGTGGATATTTTTTGCTGAAGTATCAGCAGTGGGAAGAAAATACTAAACAGCAAACTTCAACTTCGTTCTTTTCCAAAATTAAAAACGTTAACATACGTTGCACGTCATATTAGGCCTGGTTTCGATATGGTTGCAATGCTCGTAAGAATAGTGTCACGATCTTTCTAAGTTTATAATAGTTTATACCTGCATTTAAAACCACATATTATGACATACAAATCATAACTATATTCTCTAGTTACATACATACATACATACTTTATTGTGTTCCTCAAAGAGGCTTTTCAACACTAATTTACATGGAATGGTGATTAAAAAACAAGGTTAAGATTATTTAAAAATTTACTAGGAAAAATCTTCTATTATTAAAATAGTCCATTACTAAGAATACAGTCTGTCTAACATGTCTTTCTTTAATTTATTCTTAAAACTTCTCAAACATGGCATTTGTTTCGTGTTATTGTCCAGATCATTCCATAGTTTCACCCCTCTATAATGAAATGTTCTCTGGCCAGTGGTGGTATTATAAATCGGTATTTGGAGGAGCTCTCGGTTACGAGTGTTACATTCATGTATATTTGATCGTTTACTAAATTTATTGCACAAGTAAGGTGGGGCTAGATTGTTAATACACTTGTACATCAAAATTGTATCTCTAAAAAGTAAGTGTTCCTTAACTGGAAGCCAATTCAGTTCTTGCAGTTTTTGTGAGATATGATCGAACTTCTTGCTGTTTGTCACGATCCTGAAGTTTTGTACCAGTTGTAGCTTGTTAATATTTTTGGCCGAAGTGTTCGACCAAGCAGAGGAGCAATAAAGAAGTTTATTTATTACCAATGCTGATACCAAGAGGGATATAGTTTCTTTATCAAAATATTTGCTTACTCGGTTGATCTGTGACAATTTGGACATGCAAGAGGAGACTAATTCGGTGATATGGCAATCGTATGACATGTTGGTGTCCCTTATTAATCCTAAATCCTTGGCTGAAGGAACTGGCCTGATAGTTTCACCTAGAAAACTTAGGCACATATCTGTGGGGAGATTTTGTAACTGTTGTCGTGTTCCGATAAGTAAATACTTGGTTTTCTCCGGGTTAATAAGTAGATGAAGTTCAGAGCAGCAATTTGCTACTCGGCTGAGATCTTCCTGAAGGTACTCTTTTGTGTCAGTCGCGTCTTTAACACGAAATGATAAGAACATCTTTGAATCATCAACATATGATTTAAGGGAGCTGTGACGTGGGGCCAGTGGTAACTCGTTTACATAGATGCTAAACAAGAGTGGAGATAAAATAGCACCCTGTGGAACCACGTGAGTGATGTCAAGAGATGACGAAACAGACGTTCCAATACGGACAAATTGTGATCTGCCCGTTAAGTAGCTTTCGAACCACTTCACTACCTCAGGAGATGCGCCAATGTGTCTTAGCTTGTTAAGCAATGTTGGGTGATGTACGCTATCAAATGCCTTCGATAAATCTAATAGTATAAGTGCAGTTACAGATTTCTGGTCCATAGCTAATTCCAATATGGTATCATCATTCAAAACGTTCAAAGTTTCGGAGGAATGATATCTTCTATTACCGCTTTGATGCGATGTCAGGCATTCATTATGGAACAAAAATGTTGTAAATTGCATTGGCATAAAACGACCTTCTCGCAAATTTTTGACACAACTATAAGTAAGGAGAGGGGACGATTGTTAGATGGCAGTGCATGATCACCCTCCTTTATTAGTGGAATAACTTCTGCCTCTTTCCAAGATTGTGGGAACTCAGAAGACGTCAGTGAATTAATAATATCTGTTAATGGTCCGAGGATGACTGGTAAGCAGTCCTTAATAATGCGCATGCTTAGTATATCTTTGCCTGGAGCCTTGTCGGTGGGCATGGACGTTATAATGTTTTTAACTTCAGAACAGGAGACAGGGTCAAAATTAAACAGCTCAGATTCCTGTACAGGGTAATTTTATTAAACGCTGTAGTGGGTGGAGTATCAGGGTAAATATTATAATCTTGTAATAGTTGAAATGCTGCTATGGCTGTGTTTTCCCCAACAGAGGAAAAAAAGTGGTTGAACTCTTCAGCAACTATCTTTGGGTCTTTGCTATAGACGATCGACCGTCTCTTTTTCTTTGTAAGCTACAGTATCTTTGATAATTTTCCATAAGGAACCCGTGTTGTTTTTATGCTTCATCACTTCATTGTAGACATGATTTCTTTGTACTTTAATGAGTTCGGTCTTAACAGCGTTACGAGCTGCTTTGAAGTTGCACCAATTGCTGTAGTTTCGTGTCTTAAGAAAAAGAGGGTGTAGTCGATCTCTCTTGCACATCAGTTCTTTTATTTCAGGTGTCACAGAAGGGCACGGTCTGCCACTGACTTTTAAGGTCTTTATTGGGGCATGAGAATCGCATGAGAATCAAGTACGTCATCGAAAATTTTGAGTTTTTCATTAATATCATTGACTGAAAAGATGGAAAGAAGGCGTTCAGATTTAGATGCGAGATCAGCGGCAAATAATTCGTGGTCGTAGTTCCTATAGCTGCGAACTGTAATGTTGGTGGGTGGTGGTTTGGTAGACTTTAGCTTAAGCGTAACATACACGGGTAGATGATAACTGATAGTGCAGTTTAGGACACCACTGTCACGTACGGTATTAGGAGAACTGACCAAAATCACGTCAATCAAAGATTGGCTAATGTCTGTGATGCGGATTGGAGATTCGATAATTTGTTTGAGATTGAGTTCTGACGTCATTTCGGTTAATGATTTACATTCTCGACTTGTTGTGTTCAGCATGTTGCAATTTAGGTCTCCCAAGATGATGATCGGTTTTCGCATACCGAGAGCATGGACGTACTGAGGTTTAAGAGAATTTTCGAAACAGTCAAGTGGACAATCTGGAAGACGATAACAGACACAGGCCAGTAAGGACTTAGTTTTCTTACACTGCAAATTAATCCATAATTGATGGAAGCTTGTGTCAGAGATCTGAGTAAGTTCTTTGATTACCGATGACCTTATGTTTTTACGAACGTATGCACAAACACCGCCGCCTTTCTTATACAATCGATCCAGGCGATGTAATTTGTAACCATCGATTTTTAATTTCTTATTTGTTATCGTAGTGTTCAACCATGTCTCGGAGATAGTAAAGACGTCAATTCTATTTGTTCTAACGAGTTCTTTCAACTGCAAGAAATGGGCTGTATTTCGTAGGGATAGTATATTTAAATGAGCTAACTTCAATCCCTCGGAAAGTTCGATCATCCCAACAACTTATTATTTTCAGTTTCAAGATGCTAATTTTCGGATTGTGTTTTTTTGTCTTATTCTTTTTGAAATTGTCGGCTCGGGTACTGGCTTAAGATAGCATATATTTATATTGTTATTCGCCGAAGGGGAGGTGATTATCGGGGAATATTCACCGAGACGAAGTCGAGGTGAATATTCCTCAATAATTACCGATCGGAGCCTGACGCGAATAATTGTTTTAGTATTTTAACACAAGTCTTTTGTGTTACTTGGCACTGAATTTATTTTAATATCAGTAAACTTTCACAAAATGGCTAGCCGCTATTTTGCAAATTTTGGTTTTTGTTATATTCACCTGTAGGTGAATATTTATCACTTATATATTGAGACCGAGGGAAACATATTGTGAACATGGGCCCCTGTCCCTCTGGAAATTGCCGATGATAAACAATATACGAACATTTTACCGAGATTTCCGGGCCCCTCTGAGCACTCCGGGCCCCGGGTATTTTGCCCCCCCCCTCGCCGGCCTTGCTTTCCTGAGGTCTCAGTAAATAAGTGTTTTATTATATATCAGTAGTCAAAGAAACACAAATTTAAGAACAAATGAACGTAAATACATGAAATATTTAATTGTTAAAACGTTAAATTAAACACTGCAATTACTAGGCATGTCCAAAAGTCGCATCTTCACGTGATGGCGCACGTGATTTTTTTTCGTTTTTCGCCGGGCGATAACGTATTATTTCCAACATGAGCTCCACCTTTGAATTTACTATATGAGTAAATTCTTAAACACGTCCGAATTTATCATTATGATAAATTCGCGGCACATTTCGAATTTATCAATAGAGTTAATCATAAAACCACAATCATTGCACAAGGTTTCTTGTTATAAATGTAATGGCACTAGAATGGAGGCTGGTCGCGCGGAGGTGGGGAGTTTTTCATGTTTTTTAAAAAAATAGTTTTTAAAAAAGTTTTAAAAGAGTTTTGAAAAGCAAAAAAAGTTTTTAAAAAAGTTAAAAAAATTTAAAAAGTTAAAAAAATGAGGGTTAGGGGTTAGGGGTTAGGGGTTAGTGGTTGGGGTTAGTGTTAGGTGCCGCGAATTTATTATTATGATAAATTCAAAATTTGCCGCGAATTTATCATAATGATAAATTCGGACGTGTTTAAGAATTTACTCATATAGTAAATTCAAAGGTGGAGCTCATGCTGATTATTTCCCTCTCGCGCTGTTAGGAGGGAGACAGCCTAATTTCGTCACTCTCACGTGATATGCTCTCGACCAATAAAACACTAGAAAAAGGGGACTTTGACTATTGGTATATAATAAATAGAGAATAATACATGGGTGAGCGGGAATACCAGATTTATTTCGAGTGTTGAACATGATATCTCACGAGTGAGCGCAGCGAACGCGAAATAAATCTGGTATTTCCAAGCACCCATGTATTTTTCTGTTTATTATATAAACAAAATTCAGTGAAAAACAATAAAACGTCCGTGACAGTGCGTTTTACAACAAATGATATTTTCACACGTAAAAATATCGTATTCTTTACGTGTGTTTAAATACGTGTGGCCAAAAACTCTATATAACACTTATGTTTATATAATAAAACATCTTAATACTTCAAATTTGACCAATCAGGTTGTAGGATTTGTTATATTCACTTGTGCAAAAAGACATAATTATATTATGTTATGTTTTAGCGGATTGATTAATATGAACGTTTTACTGAAGAGTTTCTGACAATGTAGTGATCGAGTTTCACATGTCATGTGGCAGTTTATTATACAGTTGTACTAAGTTCTGCTATGATCGCAGGGGCGGATCTAGGGGTGATCAGAGCGATCACGCGACTAAGGTAAAAATTGGCCAGAAAAATGGAAAATTGTTAAATTAAAATAGCAGTCCAGTTATCAAACTTCGCGCAGTGTAATGTATTGAAAGTTTAACAGTCCAGTTTTGAAATATCATTCAGTAGCAAGGCCTTCGAACATGAACGCGCAGAAAAGCGGTCTTACGCATGAGTTTTGCACGCTCTGAGTCAGATTCCAGCCATCTGATTGGCTATCAAGATTTTTGCGCGATCTGTGGGGAGTTCTGATCGCTAAAGCGATCAGGGGCTCGAATACAGGCTATCCGATTGGCTAATTCAAAACAATCCTGAATTCCCATTGGCTGGATTTTTTTGATCGATCATACCGTTCAGGCTTCATTAGTGCACGGAAAGGGACGTTTCGGGCCCCTTCTGATCGCTACTTTGTGCTTGACCGCAAATTATTAAAGTTCAATGGGAAGATTTACTATCGGAAATTCTGAACTAATACCAGCCATGTCTGTTAGTATTTATGAAACTGTAAAGGCTGCTTTAGAGCATGACGATCGACAAAATGTCAAAGATATTGAAGCTGATTTAAACAAGCGAGTAATGGTCTACCGAAGCTTTTTATTAAAGATTTATTGAGCGTTGTGAATATTAACATAAGCAGCCTTCCTCGCACGAAATTTTGGTGCGGAATCCTGAAGTACGTTCGAGAGAAGACAAAAATCTTTTGTACGGCCTTAACTTAAGAGATATATATTCTATTTTAACTAGATATAGCATTATAACTGTAAACTGTTGTATACGACGGTGGATTGTGCGTCTGTACGCACATGCATGCTATAATATCGGCGGGTACGCGTATAAGACGTATAATAATACGAGACGAAATTTACATAATATTTCCGTCAATTTATATAAATATTGCGGCTTAATACAGGCAGTTTCAGTGTGTTTATACTTTGTTTATGCTTCTTGTGGCATGTAGACTTTATATATTAATCAGATCGCTACTTAATAACACTGTTTATACCTATTTAATATTTTAATCTACAAGAACACGACAATGTAGCATGGCCTTGTGTAATACGATCTCTACAACATGTACACAACAAGTAAAATGG